TGTGAGGAAATTTTCCAAGATGCTGGTGTAGAACAGAGCCTGTGAGAAGAACCGATTCTGTGACCGTGTCCTCCACGGCGCGAGGGAGGCTGGGGGGGAGCGGCCGGGGCTTGGTTTCATGGGGGATGTACAAATGTTTGTGGAGGTGAGGCAGAGAGCCAGATCCCGCACATCACTTGGTACTTGGCTTGGTGGAAGACGTGGACGCAGCACTAACCAGGCAACGGCATCACGTCTCCCGCATCAATGTTTTTGCTGCTTTTCTCCTTCCGTCACTTTATCGCTTTTTACGCTGGCACTTCCCAGTTCCTCTGAGGCACCAGATGTCTTTTGTGCCAGGTGGTTTAAGTGACAAACACAGTCACATCCAGAGTGGTTTTCAGCCTCCACTTAGCTTTGAAGATGCTTCCATTTGAAGCCTGAGTGAATGAAAAACACCATTGTTGGTGCTGCTTTCTCCAGATATATTTGCTAGTCTAATAAAAGGTATGACCTCACTCAATAAATCCTCATTTTTGCTTCCTCTCCTACCAAAACAGGCTGCATTTTGTGTAGGTTTTTCCAGAGGAATCACTTCAAAGATTGGCAGCGGTTGCTTCTGCCAGTGCCGACACGTTTTGCAGGTTTATGGTCTTGTGTCCCAAAGTTAATTACTTTTAGAAGGGCATGGCTTTTTCTAGCTCCAGGTGAGGTTTGCCTTCACTGACTGCTTGGGAGTGGGGGAGTGGTTTGGGGCCGAAAGAACTCAGCCATCCGTTTTCAAAGAGGGAAGAGGCCAACAGAAGAGACAAGAAAAGGTTAGTGTGGCTTTTGTGCACAATATAAAAAGCAAGTCAATACCATTGTAGGGGCATTGGAGGGTACTCAAAGCAATCAGTCAGGGGCCATTGTGTTCCCGTAATCTACATGTGTATTTCCCAAGAACTCTATTAGTGAAGATGAATGAACTGTGCAATGTCCCTAATTTCTTCTAATTTGGAGCTGGGGTTTTACAGCAGTCACAACCAACACAAAACATGCCCGTCCTTCCAGAAGCCCTGGGCAAATTTGGGAATAATTTTTGCTTGTAGAAGAAGGATAGCAAGGTGAGAGGAAGGTGCAAACCCCTCTAGTCAGTGCCATGAAGGGCACTGGATTCTGGCACAGATCCTGCTGCTAGAGTGTCTGTCAAAATCGGCAATTACAGGGGCAAGGCTCAATTTTTTTGCTGTTAATCACAGTGTGAATGTTCAGCAAAAGAACCACCCTTGAAGCAACGTGCGTGAGTCCCACACGGGACACAAGAGACCTTCCTCTCTAACAGAGAAGGATCCTGTTTCCTCAGCAGTAACTACAGCTGTATTTTCCCTGTGAAGCTACATTTGTCACGGGAGCATCCTTCTTGCAGGGGAGTGGAGCTGTTGAAAGAGGAAGCAACTCCCTTGGTCCCAATTTGAAAAAAATGCCTGAAAAAAACCCATAATTTTGTAGCAGAGCAGAGAGAGCTCTGACTCTCCCAGCTCCAAATCTGTCTTTTCTCTCTTGCCGCACTTGAGGCACAGGCAGGCATGTGAGGCATCACAGTGCTGCAGGGAGGGAGGAAGTCTAATGGTTCTCTGGTAACAGAATTTAGAATGATGAAGAAAGGTAGCTGAACATTTTCCTTTGGGTCTAACGTCCTGGCTGTCAGTTGAATCCCTTGCTGCCACAGAGTCCCCTGGGACCTGTGTCATGTTAGTATGAAGCCTCAGAAACTTATCTATGGTACCTCACAGCTTTGCAAGTATACTTTTGGATGTTTACAGGGGCAATCAGAACCAAATTTGAGTATTCATTAGAGGTTGAAAGGGACAGGATTTGTTACTTGCCTTTCCAAGAGATACTCCCCATTCCATCAGCTTTTTTATTTTTTGGCAATATATTATTACAATTACTGTTGCAATTATGCTTGGAAACTAGCAAAAGTTCTCAAGATGGACAGTCTCTAAATCTCAAGATGGACAGTCTCTAAAGTGCAGCTGTCTGCTGTACCTCCTTCCTGCACATGCATATAAAGACTAAATGGGAACAGTTTTCATCCTGTTGGTGCTGTTGAGACATATGTATGGGACGTGGCTTCACACAATGAAATCAGCACCATAACATGCCACAGATTCTTCCTTTGGTCCTGCCTTTTCCTTATACCAAGCTGAAATAATTACTGCCTTGACAGGGCAGACATTTGAAGCTGAAGTCACACTACCAGTGGGACATCACTCTCTAGACCAGAGGTGTGCAGCAGGGACACCTCCCTGAAAGATAAATGGGGCTTCCAGGGTCAGACAGCAAATCAACAGGGGGGAAGCAAGGTAAAGGGAGAAATATTCATCCAGAAGTCCTTCTGCAGTTTGCGTGCTCTGTATAATCCAGATTGTTCAAAACTGGAAAAAAAGGCTTTGCTGTGGGTATGGAATAGGCTTTGCTGCTCTGGGAGCTGGGCAGCGTTTTCTGGTGGGAGCACCAAGGGCTGGGTGCGAGGGCTCCCACACTCAGGCTCGCCGTGCTTAGCCATCCCTCCAGAGGGAGGGAGTGGAGGTTCATGCTATAAGGCCATATTAATGCAATCCTTCTTTACTTGTTTTCCAATTAGCCTAATTGAATTCAGATTGCTTAAAAGTGGGCACTAGAGACATTTATCTTGATGGGATGAGGGCCTTGAGCTCCAGCGATCCTATTAACTATAAGAACCCAAATCCCAGGTAGGGTCCATCCAGCAGTAGCTCCCATGTGACCTAACAATTTAATCTGCTCCTCTTCTGTCCAGCGCACACACAGACACACAGACATGTCCATGTCCACGCTCACACGTGCATAGGTGCGTGCACACATGTGCACGTGCGTTTGTGCACGCGTAGGGACACAGGCACATGCCCAAACACACACACGTGCACATGCACACACATGCAGTGACTGTGCCTTAAGGCTCCAGCAGCCTTAGGAGAAAGGTTTAGTGCAAGACATTGGAGAAGGACGTTGGAGAAAGACACTGGAGGAAGACCTTCTCTCCCTTTTCTTGCCAGCTGGAGCAGAGTGAGTGTGCAGCCTGCCTGCCTGCACACCCTGCTCCAGGCTCCCCTGGGACCTGTCCCCAGGGATAAACACCTGGAGAGCTGCATTCCCAGTGCTGTGTACCCAGTGTGGCCCCGCCGCCTCCTGCCCCCGTGCCTCCCCAGCCCGCTCAGGTGTCTGAGGACAGGGAGAGCTGGTGCTGAGGGATGACCCTGCAGGTGCTGGCAGGGAGCAGGCAGCCGCCTCCAGCAGGGTGAGGATCAGGCTCCTGCTGAGGGCAGATTTGCTGCTCTGCCCTGGCCATCATAACACCCTGCACAAGGGCTCTCAGGGAGATCTGGGCCAACGGTGCTGGGCCTGCCTCTGGAGCCAGGCCCCACTGTACCCAGTGTGCCCCACTGCTCCAGTGCCCAGCCCGATGCCACCCCAGGGCAGGTGCAAGCCCTGGCCCCAGCACCCCAAGGAAGTGCCATCTGAGTGTGGGCTCAGGGCAGAAAGTGATACCTTCTTCCAAGCAGCCCCTCTCTGCCACTGCAGACTGAGGGGGTGAGTCTGTGGTCTAACAGTGGTGCCTAGGGCAGCCCACTCCCCTGACAGCAGCACTTCACTGGGGCTGCACAGGGCTCCCATCCCACACAGCCCCCAGCCACCTCTCAGTCCTGCTTGCCTCTGCCAGCCCTGACATTTTTTTGGAATCCCATTAATCGCTTGTTTGGTGATTCTGACTGTACTTTCTTCTCTGACCCTTTAAACCATGAAAGTGCTGATCCTGTATCTGCTGACGAATTTAATTAGATCCCTTAAACCACCAGATGCTTTCAGTAAAATTTTCAGGATGCCCCAGGCACATTTTAATTGAAAAGTTGAAAGCCTCAGGCTTATAGATAAGACAATTCAGTCTGTAAAGCAGCAGAACCACGCGGACACAGCATCCAGATTTGCACCAGTGCGGAGGGAATACCTGTCACCCCTCCCTTTCCCTACGCTGGCAGCCCCAGCACCGCTGCCGGGAGCCGCGGGCGGTGGCTCCTGGAGGGCCGGGGCTGTGCGGGACACAGCGGCGGGGCCGAGCCCGGGGCTGTGC